ACTTTAGTCTTTTATGTTTAAAAAAATTAAATTAATTATTATAACCTATATATAAAAACACAACATATATGTCTTTCTCACCTATTTTACACCTTACATTTTCAAATATCTAATTTTTACTACTTCTGGAAAAAGTAAACTAATCTATTTTTATATGTTATTTTATATTTTTTATTATAATGTTTTATGTTACATCCATATTCCTTATTTGTATTGTAATATCATATTTATTTAATGAGTGTCATCTTATTATTAATAATTTTTATTTGGATTTCTGCTTTTAAGTAATTTTAACATTGGTTTGCAGAGTATATGTAACACCCTAATCCGTCTAGGTCTGCAACCTCTTTCGGACTAAAGTATAAAATTGGTATTCGTAAACATTCAAAATATTTCAAACATTTAAAAATTCTATTTCATAATAAATCATTCATGATAATAGTGGAGTAGTTTAACATTGTGGAAGCTTAATAAATAACAATTACAAAACATAATAATTTTATGTCTTTCGGAACAGTAATTCAAAATTCACGCATCCATCCCAACCATTTCGCCCCCAACTGCCGCCTGGAATACGTCACTTCATTCTTTTTATTTACCTGTGTGTAGCAAATAAAACATACTACACGCTCAGTGTTGAAGCTGAGTAAGCATATCTAATGCGTCGGACATCCATATAAATTGAATCTCAATTCATTACAATTCATTTGATATCATGCACATAATGTTCAGTTCAGATATTCACTAATCAGTATTCAATATTCAATATTCATCATTCAATATTCAACATTTATTTTCAACTTTCATAATGTCAACAATGCTCATAAACTATTCTTAGTCTAAGGCCAATTTCGTAGCAACTTGGTTCGCTGGCCCATGTATTCGAGTTACGTAGGTTGTGGTGTTACATTTTGGTATCGGAGCTCAAGGTTTTAAAACCGATCTTCGGATAACAAATTAAGGGTTTATCAACCAGCTGCACCACATCTCCTGCGACTCATCGGCCCCGGGGAGGTAACAACCTTTTAGCTTTGCGTTTTATACATTGTTATTAACTAGGGAATTTGTGGTTATAGAATAAGTCAAGCATCGACCCACAGTCATGATAACTCCCAACACAACGACGACAACCTGGTCGAGGTACACTCTGAAGCATCTAGCTTTGTCTTGCAGCAGAATCACGGGAAACCGAACATTCCCATGAACGCAGGGGGCAATCGGAAATAACAAAAATCAGCAGGAAGCCATTATTCCAGCCTTCATTGCACAGTTCCTGTAGAAGATGGTGAACGCGCCAATGTTTCTGCCGCCTTCTCCACCACAACCACGGTAGATAACCTTCAAGACCCTGAGGGACAATGGAGCAAAGGAATTCCTTGGAGACTGAATTGCCGAGCCTCAAGTTGCACACGATTGGATATAATAGGTTGCTAGGGTGCTAAATGATCTAAATGTCCTAATAACGGACCACCCTAGGCTCGCATCTCAACTTCTCCCAAAGGGAGCATACCAATGGTGGAAACGCATGGGCAGCAACGAGAAGACCCTGGAGCCGTGGACTTGGGCCTATTTTTATTGCACCTTCAAAAAGGAATATATACCAACCCGCTTTCGTGAGGAGAAGCGTACAAAGTTTATGGAGCTACAGCAGGGCGACATGACCCTCATGGAGTTACGCCAAAGGTTCGACTATTTGGTTCACTTTGCACTTACACTAGTATCTACACTGGTTGACCGTATTGGGGAGTTCAGGAAGAGGTTGCGTCCCGACGTCTGACCACATGTGTCCATTCTGAACACGACGGACTTTTCAGAGGCTTATGAACTTATGGAAAAGGCGGAAAAGGACGTCGACGACTACAAGGTAAGTTTAGGGGCAGGGGAGGGTAGGTCAAAAGCCCGTCCCACAGTTAGTGCAGCACCAAGTGCATCTCATGGAGGCAAAAGGTTGTTTGGGGTGCCAAGGGTGAACCGAGTTCCAAAGAGACCAAGTCTACGCCGGTCAAGTCTCATGGGGCAAGCAATTGATCCAAACCCTCCAAGTATCCTGTTTGCAATTTGTGTGGAAGGAACCATCTTGGGGAATGTTGGTTCACGCAAGGCTTGTACCTTCGTTGCGGAAAGGCGGGGCACTTTAGCAATGATTGTCCTACCAATCCCAGACCAGCTTTTCTTACAAGTGTAACGCTCAAGTGTGATACTAGTTTCCTCTCAAAGTGGAGAGAAAATTTGAATATTAGCTCTATCCATACATTTATTTCTATTCTTTGCATTGTTTAGGATGGAAAATAATAATTTTATTTTTCTTTGCCCTACACATTCAAATTCCAAATGAGAGGAGGAAAAATAAACCTCATTAAAAATTCTCTCACCCTCTTATTTTAATTTTTTATTTTCTTTTCTCAATCTAAAGAAAAGGTTAGAATTTATTGTTTTGAGTTTGAATTTTAGAATTTTATGTTAGAAAAACTAGAAAGAATATAATTGGAAAAAACTGGAAGAATTGTGAAAAAATAGAAAAACTTAGAAAAAAATAGAAAAAGTTAAAATAAACTAGGAAGAGTTGAACAAAACTGGAAAAAATTGAACAAAACAGAAAGTAATTGAAAAATTTGAGAGTTAAATTTTCTAACCTAAATTAACAGACGCTTACAAGTAAATTAGTAATTTAGAAAAAGAAGAGAGAAATTAAATTCCTTCTCATTTTACTCCAAAAGTGGGGAAAATTTCTTTCAACTCGATTTCAATTTCCTTTCTATTTCCATTGTATTTCCTTATCATTTCCATCCTACCAACAAATACTCCCAAACCCTCAAATAAATTGTATGTATAATTTTCATATAGTCAAATTTCATTCACACTCTCTTTATTTTTGTTAGTCATTTGATAAAATAATATAGTTAGTTTTGAAGATCTTCTGATTTGGTTTTTAAATATATAATTTTTACCTTTTAATTTTATATCATTTTTCATATAAAATGATTTAAAAATAGTTTCAATCAAACATCAAAAATCGAAATAGGATATTTAAATTAGGACGGAGGGAGTAAGTGATTTCTAAAAAAGGGGAATTGTTTGATCTTTAAAAATGTACTCCTCAGTCCCAATTTATAGCGCCTGTTTCGGTTTACAATGTTTGACAGAAATTATTTTCAAATGATTTCGTATGACAAATGGTATATAGATAAAAAATAAAAATTACATATTAAAATACTACATCAAACAATATACAAATCTAATAGTGACAATAGTACTTTATTTTATCAAATTGCTAACAAAAATAGAGAAAGAATATGAATGAAGTTTGACCATATGAATAGTGAACATGCACTATAAATTAGGACGGAGGAAGTAAGATTTTAGAGGGCTTTAGCTATCAATGAGTTTAGCGTGTATAAATTCAGTCCTGAAAAACATGTTAATTATTGAAAGGATTTTTTATTTCTATGTGTTAACTTGATAAATTATTAATCTTCCATCCTAAATTAAAATTTTTATTTACTACTCACAGGTCAAATTTTATTTACTGTCTTTGTCTATTTTTATTATTTATTTAATAAAATAATATAATCAAGTCATATTTTCTTTTGAAGAACTTTTACCGTTCTATAATTTTTAAATACAGAATACATGTATACACACACACACACACACACACACACACACACACACACACACATATATATAGGGATTGACTCCAGTGAGATGACACATTATGGTGAGATGACATGCTTCGATGAGATGATGCAAAGCTCACCACACTACACTACAAAGCTCACCTAGAAGTAAAGTAAAGCTCACCACTTTGAATACCAAAACTAACCTTTTTTTAAATTTTAAATATTTAAAATTAATAAAAAATAAAATATCAACACCGGTCAACCACCGGTTAGCGGTGGCAGTTGCCGGCGGTGGAGGATTCCGGCGACCGGCGGTGGCATATGCCGGCGGCCGGCGGCGGTTTCTGGCGACCAGCGGCGGATTCCGGCGACCGGCAGTGGCGTCAGATTCCCGCAGGTGGTGGCGGATTCCGGCGACCGGCGGCGGCAGCAGATTCTGGCAACCGGAGGCGGCAGGTGGCGGTCAAAGGTCTAGGTCAACGGTCAAAGTCCAGTCAGTACCCCTTTCTTTGATTTTTTTCAAAAAATTCAAAGTGTTGAAAAAATATGGTAAGCTTTGCGTTACAATTTGGTGAGCTTTGTAGTTTGGCAGTGGTGAGCTTTGCGTCATCTGACTGTAGGATGTCATCTCACCGTAAGGTGTCATCTCACTAAAGTCAATCCCATATATATATATATATATATATATATATATATATATATATATAAAGATTTAATGAATAGATTATTAGAAAAAAAGTATGATGTGATAGATAGAGTATGAAAAAATGAGGGTAAAAGTGTTTTTTTAATAAAAAATGAAGGTATTTTGTTGGAAATAAAAAAAATGAAAGAGGATGTATTGTTGAGAACAGAGGGAGTACAAAAAATTCAATCAAAATTATAAGATAATTTAAATTGAGAAGAAGGAATACTCTCTAGAGGGGTGTAAAGTGACAATTACTTATTGGGTGCAAAGCTTGAATTACCACAATACAACTGAAAATTTCAAGCATTGTGAACTTGTTGATTCATTTTTTTGAGAGTGAAAAGTGACATATTTTCTTTTTTGAGAGTACAAAGCGCAAAGAATTTCAAACGTTATCCAACCGCTCAAATTTTGAACGGTTGAAATCACGGTAGCAGTTCAAATGAAACTTTCAAAAATATCCTCAATATTTCAAAATAGTACCTAATTTTTAGCTACCTCAAATATTTCATATTTTATGCTAGTAATTTATACTATTAGGGAGTACATCATAACATCAAGTCAAACAAACACCACAAATTCAAAAAGAAGAAAAAAAACAAAAAAAATCGGCATATGCCCTAACAACAACTACAAATAGCTGAACCAAACACAGCCTATATAGGTGAGCAGTGATGTCATTTGAATCTTTAAGGAAAAAAGAAAGAGCTCTTAATAAACACTTCTACATATAATACTCCTAAATAAATGTATGTGTTTTTTTCATGGAGAGATCACTACTTCTAGAAACAAGTGAGCAGAAAGAAAAGATTTAAATTCAAACTTCAATAAAAGAGAAAAACTATTGCATTAAGCCCTAAAAGAAACTTTTGCAGCAAAAATCACTTGTTTTTATCCTCTACTTTGGCTGTCTGCCCCGTTAGATTTCGTCGAAAGATTACCTCCATTTGGCATGTCTGGCAAAAACAAAGTGACTGAAGTGAGAAAATCACTTCCAATATCAGTACTCCGTAGGAATAAAGCTAGGGTAACCCCAACATTTTAGGGTTACCATGACTCCAAGCTTTACACAAACAGATGCAGACAGTGTTACGATGGCCCCAAGCTTTGCACAGATACGCACAGTTAGACAGTTATTGTCTGTGCCACGAACACAACAATTGTCTGGGCAAAGCTTGGAGTCATGGTAACCCCAAAATCTTGGGGTTTCCCTAGCACGACTACTCCGTAGTTCCTAAACAACGAAAGTCCAATGCCTTCGGACAAAGTAATTGCTTACCTTTCACTATGACGCACACGGTCACTCCAAATTCCTAAGACTAACTTTGGGTCTTTCTCTGGTTCAAGGGTGGGCTAGGTCATCAATTGAAACTTCGGCATTGCAAACCGGGCATGTCTATAAAATCAAAAGTGTGATAAAACCATTAAAAATGTTCCCATTTTTATCTTTCAAAATAAGGCAAGAGACGAGGCGGATTCTTACTTTGTTAATGCCCAGCCACTTGGAGACGCAATCAGAGTGGTACACGTGTTTGCATGGCAAGTTCATTTGGCGGTCTCCTCGTTTGTACTTCATTTGACAGATGACACATCTGGTGGTTTCCCCCAAGCAGCAAAAAAAAAAAGAAGAGAGAATTTCACAGATAAATGAACTCAGCAATGGTTGAATTGTGTCCATTTCTCATTGTGATCAAAGTAGTACCTTTCTCCACATCTTTTTTTCGAGAAAATCCAGCTGGCCTTGTATTTAGAGGTTGGAAGGAGATCGATTAGCTCTTTTGGAAGACCTCGACTTTGTGTTCCAACTGCCTCCCCCAAATCCAGCAGTTCCTGCAAAGATAGAAGAGTTTGACAGGTTATAAACGCGCCAACGAGGACATATATTATTTCACTCCAGTACCTTTCACATAAATTATTTCAAAAAGCAACAAAATCTTAAAATTTTAACTTTCGGTTGAAAAAAAGAGATCCTTAGAGAACATCTCAAAGCGTCATCCGGCATAATAGTGTATAAATACTGCCCTAAAAATTGATCCATTATTGTTCCTCTCCACAATGCATTATTGTTAAAACATCTCAAAACATAATTGCAGCAGGTCAATAGCTCCAAAAACAAAAAGTGCCATTAAAAAAGAAAGACAATACTGATACATTATTGTTCCTCTTTCTGCCTGAGGTGGTCTGAATGTAACTCCTACAAGTACTTAAAAACTACACCAACATTTAGGATGCTAAGATCCCGAAATAAAATGTTTTGGAGTGTTCTTCACAATACTGATATCCAATCCCTACAACACCAACCCAGTAGTTTGTAGGTTTGTTAGAAGTTAGCTTTTGATAGACGGAGCAAAAAAGGGAGAACAATAATGAAGTTAATTCCATTCAAATAATCTAAACCCTTCTTCATCTTTAGTATTCTGAACAGCTCTTTCAAAGATCCTTTGCCAATTTTGGGTATCTTCCTACTATCTGTAACTTGCTCACTTACTTTAGTACCAACTTTTTGCTGTAATGTCCTCCTTGATTACTTGGACAGTTTTTACCACACTGTTCACACTACCTTTGACCCTTTGTTGTCTTTTTTTCTACTGCAAAAAATTTACAAAACTATTTTAAAAAATCAAAAAATTTGAAGTTTTTTCAATTTATAAAATCTTACGAAACTTTGTCTTTGCGGAAGCAGACTCTCTACCCCTAGGGGTAGAGATGAAATGAGTGTGCATTTCACCCTCCCAAAACACTACTTGGCAGACTGGGACAGGCATACTAGGGGTAAGTTTCATTTGGTAAAGATGCGGAATAGTTTGCAAGAAAATTTATGAGTTTTGGTAATTCTCAGATGCCCTCTAAGGACAACCTGGCAAGCATTTTAAAGGGAAATGTCACAGCCTAACCATTTCTCATCATTACTTTAATCCTAACGGCGCCGGGGTATGATTTTTAAATTTTAGGTGTTCACAAAATTTTGACAACTAATTGGCACTATATCAAATATATAGAGTCAAACAATGGTCTGAAATTAATTAACACTTTAAATGCACGCAAAAGAGCATTGTGATGAAGTTTTCCATATCATGTCCTTTTAGTGCCAACATACTTACAAAGGAACAGTGAGATTAAATTCTTATATTTCATGATCATGAGCCTATTACGATGATGAGTCATATTCCATTACACAATTGATATTACAAAATAAACATGACAAAAATGTCGTAGTTAACCAATTAGTTGTAATTCATCACAAGTATTCTCTCTCCATAAAAGAAAAATTACTCCGTGTAAAACAATGTGTAATCCATCTGGAGTGAATATAAAGACTTCAAGATTTGTGGTTAGAAGTATATGGTTACAGAATGCCCCATCCCAATGATATCTCATAATGGAAAAGAACGCCCCAATCAATGGATGAAAATCTCTCCACGAAGAAACAGAACAGTTTATACTACAGAGAAAGAGTATGGATAACGGACCTCATATGTCATGTTGTCTGGATCAATATCGTCTTCGAACACAATCTGTAATGTTACAGACACGAAAAAGGAAAGCTATTATGATTATACCATATTTCAGAAAATAAATCTAACCTATAATTGTTTTTGAGAAATACAGCTAGCAATTCAAAATAATATTCCTCATGTCCCATGAAAAGAGCCATAGTTTACAAATGTACTTTAATTTTAATTAAGGTGCAACTCAAAAATTTTCATATATAGCTATATTTTGAATTTTATTTGTTGATTTAACTAAAATTAATACACTTAAATTTTTCTATTTCCTTTTTAACAAAAAAACATGAGAACTGGCTTTTTTATTCAGGCTTAAAGTCTACTCTCTGATTCCACATGCCACAAGTCCTTTAGTCCCACAACTTCTGAATATCATTACTCTCAGGTCCTAAGAACTGACGGCCTTTTGGTACAGTTTTGCACCCTTGCTTTTGTTTTCAAATTCTTTCAAAAACAAAGAGCGGTTTTGGTCATCTCATTATTTTATTCGCTCAAATATTCTCAAAGCATTGGTTTCCTCTTACCATTCATGCTTCGGTCTTCGTGACTAAAAATTGCTTAAATATTTCAGATAAATTATACTACACCCGTCCCTAAAAGAAAAGGAGTCATGTTTGTAATATTGTACGATACCTGATCACTGGTGACATCTTGCTGTGATGAAGTTCCTACTAAGCCAAAAAGAAAAGAAAAAAATCAAACTTTGGCTGGAAAATTACAACTCCTCAACAATATGCGACGCCAATATGTTGCACTCAATGGCATGAAATATATATATATATATATATATATATATATATATATATATATATATATATATATATATATATATATATATGTCAGATAATTGTTGAAATCAGTTAACATATAAATTCCCCATTAAACGATCAAGATTATTATGATTGGTATCATCAAAGCAGTCTAGGTAGCTGGAATAACAATAAAAACTCATCACTGATAAAAGCAGCAACTAAAACAACAGTACCAGATATAATCCCAACTTCGTTGGTGTTTACGGTCAAGATGTACTCACCCTTACCCATGTAAAAATCAAAAATAGGCTATTTCCAATAGACCCTTAATGCATTGTTGCATTTACTCGCCAAAGCTTCATAAAATGTTAGAAGCAAAGGAAGTTTAATGTGGCATTTTTTTATTTAGTCCATACTTTACCCGGAAGCTAAAGCATTATGAATTATAACTCATTTAGCTGCACTGGTAATGGATGACCCATCATTGAATAACAGCAACAACAACAAAAAATTGAGTTGAAACTCTGTTCATGCTTCTGATTATAGCATCACTCTGTGATAACAAATGAAACTCACTGTCTTCGGGGTTAGCATCTGCACTTGGAACTGCATTCTCCTCGGAAGTAGACTCCACTATGTCTACTGATGCAGGAGGTTCTTGTGCGTTCGTCATGACAAGGTAATTCAAATGTTGTTGCACAGAGAAATCCATGGTTGACAAATGGTTACCACTCACGTAAGGATTGTAATAGGAACTTTCCATCCCAGAAAATCCAAATTTGTACCAGTTCATATTCATGGTCCAGTAAGTAGCTTCCTGCTCACAAAAAAAAAACAGGGCAAGGATTTCCCATCGATATTACAAAAGAGGAAAACCACTAAGAGTGTTCTTTTCAGCTGAAATATATTGAATTGAAGTCAAAATTGAATAACTTAGTTTGAAGTGGAAATTAGTTGAAAGTCCCTACATTGTTTGCAAATCTATCCTCAAGATTTGAGGTCTTCCCCCAAACAAATAGATAAATGTCTTTTTCGTCCCTTTATAGAAGCAATCCAGTTTGAACTATAAACAAGTTGTGTTTTGTAACAAGAGCAATATATTCATCCAGCTTCACTAGAAGAACAATTCAGAAGTATTGCAGGACTAACCTCATTAGGAATTTGGTGAGGATTTGGATATTGCAAATGGGGCTGGGAACCATCAAAGTAGTACGCAGAGTTCTCTGCAACGCAATAAGGATAACCTGTATTTATGTAATGCATCGCCATATGTTGTTCACCGTTCATCTCATAAATCTCTCCTCCTTTTCTTTCCTCTCACTTTTTTAGCCTGCCCATTAACAAAAGCAGCAAAACTTAACCACATTCCAGCACTGGGTGGTTAGAGTAACAATGTAAAAAAATGCACACAAGTTCATTATAATCTCTATGAGAGCAAGCAAAGATTTATTCAAGCTCTAAACCAGATTCAACAACGACTTTTGTGATATTCAGTCATAAATATGCAGGAAAAGACATCAGATTTAACAAACTTTCAGCTACCACTCACTATTATTATCACACTAAAATCCCAAGCGCAAACCACCATACACATCAGGAATAGAAAATGTTCAAAGCAAAACAAGGCATTCCATTCATCAAAACCCTAAAAATAAAATAAACTAAAAATCAAAATAGATGCATGTTTCAAACTCAATGTTAGCAATTCCCCTGAAATTCCCAAATTCTTTTCTCCATTTCATGGAAACCAGAGTAGAAACAGCACAAGAACAATGAAAAAAAGAACACAAATGGGAAATGCAAACGCAGTGCCCACACCCAGAAACCTGTGGAAACACCAAGAACAAGCACACACAGAGCAAAATAGGTCAAGGGATGGGGAGGAGAAAAGGGCAAATCTTAGTACCAGCAAAGAAGAAGAAGAAGAAGGAGAGAAGTGAAGGTGCTTTCTTTATTGATTTATTGGATCCCTTTTCTTTTCTTTTTTTGAATCTCTGAAGTAGAAGATATTGGTTGGAGTGTGATTGAACAGAGACAATTCTTCTTGCCTGTCTCTCTCTGTCTGTCCCTCTTGCTACGTAGGACGCTTCAGGCGATTATATACCGGACTTGAGAGACACGCCATCTTGCCCCTACACCCATTTCCATATTATGTCCATTCTTTATACTGTATCTTTATTACCCATCCAAAAATGAACCTCTGCATTATTACTCTTACTGGTTAAAGTCTCGATGTCTTTTTTTCTTTCTTTTTTGCATTTTCTTAAATCTTCTAATTAGTGTTGGATTTTTTGTTTTTAATAGACGTTAAATGTATCAACTTTAAACATAACTATCAATATGTCTACTAATGATTACAGAGTTAACTAATCATATAACACCCTAATTCGTCCAGGTCTGCATCTCCTTTCAGATTAAAATATAAATTTGGTATTCATAAACATTCAAATATTTCAACATTTCAAAACTTAATTTCATAATAAATTATTCAGAATAATAACGGAGTATTTTAAGTTGCGGAAGCTTAATAAATCGAAATTACAAAACATAATAAATTTATATCTTTCAGAAAAGTAATTCTAAATTCACACATCTATTTCGACCATATCGCTCCATCTGCTGCAAGGAATTCATCACATCGTTCTTTTTGTTTACCTGCATGTAGCAAATAAAACATACTACACGCTCATCGTTGAAGCTGAGTAAGCATATCTAATGCGTCGAACATCCATATAAACTGAATCTCAATTCATAATCAAATCATTTGATATCATGCACATAATATTCAATTCAGACATTCAATAACCAATATTCAACAATCAATATTCAACACTCATATTCATATTCAACATTTATCAACAACATCCTTAAACTATTCTTAGTCTAAGGCCCATTTCTTTAGTGTTTCCAACTCTTAAACTAATTTTAGTTTAAGGTACTTCTAACCAACTCTTAAGCTCGGCCTAATTTAAGATACAAATTTTCAAAAAGGATTTTCAAAATCTTAAACTTTCCTTTGCTTAAGGTACTACCAGAAACCGAACGGGTTGGGTGGTACCCCCAAATGAGTAGGTACTCAAGTTTCGTTTGTGGATCACGTACGTACGTTTTAACCTTGGCCACCGAACATCATACCCGCAAGGCCTAACTAAATGGGTATATCTTAGAGTTCTTCTAGATACCCTTAAAATCAACATTAATTATTTGGGTATATCTTAGAGTTCTTCTAGATACCTTTCAAAATCACTAAGGGTATATCTTAAAGTTCTTCTAGATACCCTTAAATTTAATACGCATTATAATCATCAATGTATTCATTTTTTAAGCCATGGTTCAATCATTCATGATTATCACTCTAATCAGAATATTCATCATAATCCACAATAAATAATAATTATCACAATATTCAATAACAATTAGCGTCCTAGCATCGAGTGTTAACACTCTAGCTTATCGTCATGCATCACATAAGAATTTATTTGTCAAAAACATCATTATTATTTCAATAAATCATATTTACACTGATCATAATTTATTGTCATCAAAAATAAGATTTTAATGCTCGAAAATAATATTTTTCAGAAAAATATTCGAGTTGGACAACTCGGATGATCGATCCAGCACCCAGGATCGATCTAGTGAACTGAATCAATCTCAGGTGATTGATCCTACCCGCTAAATCGATCCACCGTGTCGATCCATCCTCCTAGATCGATCTCCTGAAGCTTTTTGTTATTGTTCATCGTTTTCTACCTTCTGTCCATTTTTTGGAATTATCATTTTTAGTCACCAAACTTCAATTAAACTATATAGAAGTATTCTCCAAATTTCATAGATCATTTGGGTATCATTAATTCGTAATTTTGACAACGAATTCAAGGTTTATGATTCTTAGTTTTTCAAACATGTCAGACACAAAATTCAACCAAACGATCGTTTATGAATGTAGAAACGATCTATTCGAACATTCTAGTCACTAGATATATCTACAAGCTTACCTCGAGCTAAAACGAAAGTTTTGGAAATTTTTCCAGCGAAACTTCCGACGAACACTACGACTTGCTCCGGCAACGAGAAGCTCTCTGGACAACACTACTTTGCTCTCTATACTCTTAGATCTCTAATGGAGGAAAACAGGTGAAGAATGGTTAAGTACTGAGTATCCTTATATAGGAGAAGGGAAGAGGAAGAATACACAAGAGCTGAGTCAGACTTCCAACTCATGATTGGCGAATCCTTCGTAGCGGTTAGAAAATCCAGCACATTACTTCCCTGATTAGGACTAATTTGATTCCAGTCGTGGTACACTTTTTGGTATAACTTTCTCTAAATCGAAATCCGTTTGCACCGTTGCGATCAGACAGTTAAACTTTATCTAACGACATACTTTTTATATTTATTTGGAATACTTTTTCGGACATCATGTTTTTGGATGTTTGATTTTGATAGAGTCAAAATTGATTTAGTTGACCTTTATTCTAAAAGGTTTGTCATCCAATTCATATTATTTATCCTCATGATTTATTTTAATAAATCATTTCCAAGTCTACATCATAAACAAATTCTTTATTTATTCTTAATTTGGGTCTGTACTATAGTTCTCAATCAAAATTACACAATAAGTCAACATATTGGGCTTATCTCTATAAGATTTATCCAAATTGTGATATTAGTTATCAAAATATGTTTCATTTCGGCCCAAAGCCCATCAATAATTTCTTTTAATCAAAACAATTTTGACTAATTAAATAATTATTCATTAATAATTTTAGGGTATGTTTTGGGATGTTACAAATCATTAATTCATCAATTCTTCGGCACAAATTTTAATTGGAGTATAGCGTAATGAACGTGTTAATGACTATCATTAACACACCACTAATGATGGTCATGGCTAATGAATATACTTTGATGTAATAGGGATTGCAAAATGGATGGTTACTAGTTGCCTTTTAGATTAAAAGAGTGCTCCATGATCTCTCATTTTTTATTTCCATACGTGAGAAAGAGAGGAAGAAAACAAATGTATAAACTTTTTTTATTTAATTCTTCAAGAGAGCTTTTGGTTTTTCAAGCCAAAATTTTTCGGTGATCCCCTTTAATTTTTCTGGTCAATAGCCCTCTGATGTTGTTCTTGTTTGCTGGTGTGTGGTTCGTCCATACAATCACCACACACGACAGTGGTTTTATCCTGGCAGAAGAGTGTCCATATTTTCTGATATGGTAGACGGACACTATTACCTTAAGGACAACTCTGGTGACTCTACTACCCTTCTATGGTGTTTAGTTTTGCAGACTCTATTTATAGTGACCTAGCTGCATTCTGCTCTAAGTCATAATGTTCTCGCTAGTATTCTTTTTTAGCCATATTATTCTCTTTGTTGTTCCAAAAACCTCTCCATTGCTCATAGTATCCTTGTCCTGGGCTTATTACTTCAGCCAAGTACATAATATTTTTGCAGTTCAATTCATAATGTCCTCGTACGACATGGTCTTTTAAATATCTGGACACTAATTTTCTATTTTGTTTATTTTGTAATATTTTGAATAAACTATAAATTCAGAATTTTATTAATTATTATATATTCTGGGATCGTTCGTCTTCCATGTCTATTAAAATCCGTACGATCATTTATAACAATATTAAGGTAGTAGTCATATTTGTGCACGATGGCAAGTATAGACGGTGTCAGTTTTGACACTCGCATCGAACCCGAGAGTAGCTTTAAGACCCCAGTTGTGAACCCTACAGCTGGATTGGGTGGATTTCTTGGGCAGAACACTTTAATTATCATTCCCTTTGGATTGAGTGTGACTGTGGAGTCCACTTTAATCATCACCTTTGATGAACCGAGCGCAACTATGGAGTTTGCTCTAGTCACCTCTTTTGTTAGACCGACTAGGGCTACAGTTCCAACGGTCACCCCACTTAGACCGAATATGACTTCGGCCATCGTAGTTAACTCTCTTAGACCGCACACAACTTTTTCTATATCAGTCATTCCCTCTTTTGGACCGAACACAGGTGCATTCGCATCAGCATCGATCGGGTATCTCACTGTCACAATTGGCCTACGAACTCTATCAAGGAACCGGTCGGGTATCCCATTATCATAATGTCTGCGAACTTTGTCAAGGAACCGGTAAAGTTCACAAGCATCAGCTTTAAGATGCAGCATCAAAGGATGTTATTTTGGCTCAACATGCTCAACCTTACGAGGTACTTGAGCGAAGATCCTCCTGATGTGGGTGAGAACGCAAACGAGCTAACAGTTCAGGCTATAGAGGCATGAAAAGTGAATAACTATTTGCGCCTCAATCTTATTCCGACTTGTCTTAGATATTTCTTAGATGCAGTTTACTCTAAGGTCTCATTCATAATGAAGTTATAGACTACACTATTCAACAAATACCAAGCCGAAGATGCCGGTGCAAAGAAATTCATTGTGGGTAAGGTTCTAGATTTTAAAATGGTGGATTCCAAATCCATGGTCACTCAAACTGAAGAGTTGACCCTCATTTTTAATGCGTGTAGTCAGTGGCGGACCTAGAAATTTTGGGTCATGGGGTCGCGTCCGTGAGTTATTTTATCAACAAACGACATGTCGAGCATTAAGTAAAAATATACTTTCTTGTCACATTTTTGTCTCATTTCAGTTTAAAATGTTTAACTAAAGCATTTTTTAAAATTTATTTAACAATGGGAGTTGAATAAAAACTTAAAATTGTAGATTTAAAAAGAACATAGAATATTTTATGGAATAAGAGATTTCACTAATAGTAACAAATATGTGTCTCCCTCCTCTATCCCAACCGTAATCGAATAACTTTCATTTACTTATGTATTTTCATTGATTATTTAACAAAATAAATTATTTTCGTCACATCTTATTTTGCGAACCATTTTAGATTTTTTTATTATGTAAATTGTACACCCTCTGTCCTAGAGTATTCATATACTTTGACTTTTTTGAGTTAAATTGGACTAATTTTAATGCCAATTACATAAAATTTGCATGGTATATTTTCAAAAAGAAATAAATTTCAAAAAAATCGACAAGAT